ACCAAGTCCCGAGACATGTTATGTTCATATTAAAGAAAATGTTAAAAAAAAACGTCTGAGCAAATTTTTTTTGATTAAAACTAATTAATAAATGTATACCAAGAAAAACAAATCTTGTTGTTTTAGTCAAAGCTCGTCTTCTCCGTTTTCTCTGGTATTTTGAGTATGTAAAATAAACGCGATTTTCCAGGCGCATTATACAGACTTGATAATTTATTCAAGCACGTTTAATTCATAGGAGTTTTAGTGCATGACGTCATAAATTTTTTCGTTTGTTTGTTTAAAACACCGATTGTTATTTTTTACATACAATTTCCAAATCATATTCATTTTTATTATATTTTTAAAATTAAATTTATATCTTTAGTTCTAAAATGTGTTTGTAAAACAAAATTAAAAACAAAATAAAATTAAAAACAAAATAAAATTAAAAACAAAATTAAATTAAAAAAATAGTATTTTATTTGCGCAACTTTTTTTAAATAATCGTCTAGATCACGTGTATTTTGATTTCTTATGTTATAAGTTTTTCTTTCAAAATATAACCTAAATAATAATGCACTTTTATCAATTTACTTTGTAAATATTAAAAAAAAAATTATTAACACATTTTTTCTCTGATTTTCAAAAATGTATTTTTTGGTATTGAGGTGATCTTATTTCATTATTTATATTTCCATAATAACATCCAATATATATTATGGTGGGGGGTTAAAAATTAAAAAATTAATATATATTAATTTTTATTTTACAGACCATACATGGAAACATAATTAACTTGAATGTTTTTAAAACATCTTGCGGAAGAATAAAAAGAATGTTCGCGAACACTAAAACCCCGCCAAGTTTGCAAACAAACTAATTCTATTGGTTCAAAAAACACGTTGACTAAGCAAAATAAAGTTCTAGAGTATTCTATTGAAATGTTTTGGGAATTGTATTATTTACAATTTGTTGCGTTTTGAGATATCTAGCATGAATTTTTTTAAGAATATCAGGCTTGGTCGGGAAGCGGGAGCGATCGCTCTCGATTGCTGACCACGTAAATAATATTTAGTTGCGAAAAACTGGCCAGATTTTTTAGTAGTTTTGATAACATTTTAAAATTATTTATTAGATTAATTGGACCGATGAGAGACAATTACAAAAAAAAAAAAAGTAAGCAAATAAAATATCTTTTAACGCGAAAAAACTTTAAGCTAAATAAATTACATTTAGAACAAATATTTACGAAACATCGCTTTTTTATAATTTTTTTTATAAAATTAAGCGATGTTTTTTATATAAAGTAACAACTTACGATTGTTTAAAAGGGAAACAAATACTCTTTATTTAACTTTTTCCAAGTTTTTGTTTTTCTTAAGCTTAATTTATTTTATAAATAAAAAAGTTAATTTTTTTAATACCTATTTTATGTTTCGCGTAGTTTGAAAAGTTTAACATATTTGAAGCGATTCTTCTTAGTAAGATAAACAAATGAAATAATTAAATCATTGAATTACTATAGGAATTAAATTATCAAGATAGAAATCAACTAAAAAGGTTAAAAATACGTAATGACCAGGAAGCGAAACTGCTTTACAATATCGCTGATGATGTTTAGTGAGTGGGTTTTTAATTTTAATTAGTATTTAAAGCAGAAAAAAGTATAACGAGTTTTAAGAATGGCAACTTAAGCGAAAATAATTAGAGTTAGTAAACCAATATCTAGAAACTTTTCTTTATATCTAACTATTTGCTATTATATATTTGTGTTCTGTCGTGACTTCAGAAGCGATGCTTGTTCATCCGCGAGTTACTTTGTATGCGTTGTTTGTGTTAAGTAACCAGAAACTTCTTATATGTTAGTTACATAATTAGTTTTATTAACTTAAACGATTATAACTTCATTGAAAACGCAATTATTTTTGTAAGTCTTTGTTCATAATCATAAAAATTGCTTTAAAAGATACATTACGATAAAAAACAAATACACAAAATTACGTTTACATAAAGAATACAATCTCTTTTAAAATAAAAAATAAGAATACACTAATAAAATCTATGATTTATAATAAACTTTTAAAATTTTAACAATTTAATTAATATATATTTAAAACATTTATTTTCGTAGAAATAATATATATTCTTTAATAATATATATTCTTTAAATAATATATATATACTCTCTAACAAATAATATATATTCTTAAAACAATACTAGAAATCTCAAAACGTAACAAATCGTGAATAATTACTAAAACATTTTAACAGAATACTCTAGATTCGCTTAATCAGTGTATTTTTTGAACCAATAGAATTAGGTTGTTTGTTAATTTGGCGGGTTTTTAGTGTTCACAAATATTATTTTTATTCTTTCGCACGAAGATAATTTGAGAACATTCTAGTTTATTATGATTCCATGTATGTCCGTAAAACAAAAATTTTTTGTTTCGTACATAAACTTAAATGTTCTCAAAACGACTAAAAAACCTGGCCAGTTTTACGCAACTAAATATAATTTCCGTGGTCAGTATTCGAGAACGATCGCTCCCGCTTCCCGACCAAGCTTGGAATATATTATCAAATGAACTGTTACTTTAATATTATGGCTCATTCTCGGAGCCACATCTGTAATGCCGTAAAACTTTTAAACTATTATCATTTGTTTACAAAAATAAATGTTTTTTAATATATATTTTTTAAATTGTCAAAATTTTGAAAGTTAATTACAAATTATATATTTTATTAGTATATTCTTAATTTTTATATCTTTTCTTAGTGCTTGGTTTAATTAATTGTTCGTTAGATTTGTAAAAAACTAACGAACAATTAATAAAATAAACTTTTAATAAAATAAGTAACTATAGTTAGCTATTTGAGTAAAATTTAATAGTAAAATTTTTAAAGAATTTCTAGAATGTTCCCAATGACATCATACTCCAAAACTCCTATGAATTAAACGCGCTTGAATAAATTATCAAGTCTGTATAATGCGCCTGGAAAATCGCGTTTATTTTACATACTCAAAATACCAGAGAAAACGGAGAAGACGAGTTTCGACTAAAACAACAAGATTTGTTTTTCTTGGTATACATTTATTAATTAGTTTTAATCAAAAAAAATTTGCTCAGACGTTTTTTTTTAACATTCTCTTTAATATGAACACAACATGTCTCGGGACTTGGTAGTCCCTTCAAAATTTGATCAATTCAACGAAGAAAATTTCATGTGTTCTACAGGTTATTATTTATCTAATTTTCAAAAAGGCACTCCTTCTTTGGCAGACAATTTTTATAAAGCTAGAACTTTTTAATCTTTTATATATATATATATATATATATATATATATATATATATATATATATATATATATATATATATATATATATATATATATATATATATTACAATCTTTATAGAAATAACGAAAAATGAATAAAGAATCAGAAAACTCGAGTAGGACCAGGATGCCACCAAGAAACTGCTAAAGCTAAAATAGAATGATTTGGATGATCATAACGTTAATGTTTAAATGTATATCTTCTTAATGTTTTTTTTTTTTTAATATTCAATCGATGAGATCTCAGCCTCAAAAAACACACATTTGTAAAACCTTTTATTATCAAATTTTTAAAACCGCCAGCTTTTCTTTGCTTTTCGGTATTCACGATGTTTGCAGTAATCAATGGAACATACTTTGACTTACTTTGTAAAACAAAATTTTTTTTCAATGAGAGTTTATTCAGTCTATAAAAAAATAATAATTAGCTACACCAACTTTCCTGACTTTGATATAATTAAACTTTTTTTTAAGCTTCTTTTCATTATTGTAATCTAATCTTTTGACTTCTTGAAAAAAATTTTACATAATTGAAATATCAGTAAAATTCAATAAATGCGACATTTCTTAGATTTGGCGCTTTTTCAAAGTTAATTTGCTCATTCGCATTATATAATATCCATTTTGTGATCGTTTTAAATAAGCAATAATTTTAAATTTAATGATATAACAATAAAACTGTTAAAGAACAGTCATTGAAACTACAATTAATAACAGCGCTTTTTTTGGGAATGAATGCCTCCATTATCAACATATTTTATAAGTTCATCTAATAGTTTACATTTTAATTTTGTCAACTTCAAATCAACTAATAAAATTTTATTTTACAGAATTGAAAATCCTGCCGGACAAAATGTCTGATGACTTTGAAAATTGATCGGACATTATGAGGTTTTAGCCGGACAATGTCCGATGTTCGACTGTTAAATTAAGCCTGGGTCAAATAATAGTTTTTTTTTATTATCTTTCTAAAATTTTAAGAAAATTTGTGGAGCTTAATACACTACATGTTATGTATGGACCACAAAGGTTATTGGTGTCTAGCATTTTTGAAAGTACAGAGAGGATAATGATCAGATGGATATGTGCAGCTACTCGTATATCATAGATTTGATGTCACTTACAAACAATAAGAAGTAATGGCAGAGATGAGAAGCAATACCTAAGCCTCCATCTATGGGAGCTTAAGTACATATACCAAATGAGGTTCGGGTTATAGCAGGTAATCAACATTTCAAACTTAAAGTGTATCATATTAAGACAAAACCAACTTAATCCAGGACACTTAAATGTTACACATGCACACATGCACACACAGATATATATAAATTGATAATTTAATTTAATTTATTAATAAATATAAATATGAATATATATATATATATATATATATATATATATATATATATATATATATATATATATATATATATATATATATATATATATATATATATATATATATATATATATATATATATATATATATATATATATATATATATATATAGAGAGAGAGAGAGAGAGAGAGAGAGAGAAAGAGAAAGAGAAAGAGAAAGAGAAAGAGAAAGAGAGAGAGAGATATACATTTAACAACATTCATTTACATAAGTATTTATTTATCCATTACGTATTATTGATGTATTAATTTTAGTTAAATTTTTTAATGATAACTTACAAGTGCAAGAAGTATTATACTTTCATACTCCACGGTGTTCCTACAGTCAGTGTTTTCATCAAAACCAGCTATATATTCTTGTACCAAAATGTCGTGAAAACCTAAAATAGTTTTAACAACACAATGTAGCAAAACTATCTACAGGCCTTTGTTTTAAAGTGTTACGCTGCACACAATTTATATATGCATTAAACTATTTTATGTATGCCTAAAGCGATTTCAGTTAATTGAATTTTAACATTATTTAAATTTCAAATTAGTCGGTAGATAAAAGAAGTAAATAATTTTATAAAATCCACTACAAATTTTGAATGGAAATTATGTAAAAAAGGTTTTTACAAATATTTGAATGAGGTTTTTACAAATGTTGAAGGTTTTTAGAAATGTTGAATGAGGTTTTTACAAAGGTTTTTACAAATGTTTGAATTTTACAAATGTTTGAATGAAAAGTTAGATGTTAGATATAAAGTTATATGTTAGATATAAGCTTCATTTACTTATGAAAATTCAGATAAAATTAAAAACTAAGAAAACTTAATCTCTATTAAGCTAATTAATTTATCAAAATATTATGATATTTTATTTTTATTCTGTTTTTACTTTATTGTAATAATTGATTTTTTTTTGCTTGAAAAACGCAATACTTCAATCTTGAAGCAAAGGTCATAATAAATATATAATTTAAATCTGATAAAAATATGATTTAATTTAAAATTTATTTAACAAAAATATATAATTTTATTCTGACAAAAAAAATATAATTTAACTTTTATTTAAAAAATATATAATTTAATTCTGATCAAAAATATATATTTAAGTTTAATAAAATTAAACTTAATTTAAACCCAAGCATTAAGTTTAATAAAATTAAACTTAATGCTTGGGTTTAACTTTATTGTCAAATTTATTCAAAAATATTACTTATTATTGTTTAATATTTAAATTTAATTTAATTAAAAAAAAATTTGCTGACTTTTATCACAATAACTTTTTAGGTTTGCTATCCTAAACATATCTTTTTTTTTTCTTTACTAAAAATTAAATTCCAAGTAAACGTGTTCCAAGGCTGCACCAAAAATGTGTACAAAACAAGCGTTAAACATTTTTTTCTAAAGTTAAATTTTTAATAATTTCTTAAAAGTGCAACAATTATTTTATATAAATGGTACATACATGACCATTTTAATCAACGGTGTTTGAAAAAAAATCTTTGTTTTTCAACAAAATCGTTGATAAAGTAATAAACTTTTTTTAAAATAAATAAGTTTCATTTGTTACTTTGCAATTTTTTTTTAAATAAAAAATCATTTTAGTTGCAGAGTCAAAACTAGAAATTTAAGAAACAATAACTTAAAAAAATTAACATATTTTAATTCATTTATAAAAATGTCTAGAAATTTAAGAAATAATAATTAAAAAAAATTAACATATTTTTATTTATAAAAATGTCTAAAATAGATAGGGATTTGTTTATACCAAACATTTTTAAAAATATAATTTCAAATTTAATTGTTTAATATAAAAAAAAATTTAAAGAAAATAAACATTCAGTAATATTTCTACATTTAATATATATTTAACTTTGCAGTAATTAATAATATTAGTTTAGAAGTAGTTTTAAAAGTTAATGTCATAATTTCATAATGCCATGGTTATAACCAGTTTCTATCAGCCTTAACACAAGATAAAAGTTGTTGTAAAAATGAATTTAAAAGCTAAAATACTTTTTCAAAATTATGAAAAAACAACAAAAATAACTGAAACAATTGTAAAGAAAATAGATTTTTTAGACAGAAATTTTTTTTTTGTTTGAACTAATAACCGGAGATTATAAACATAGTTTAATTTGCATATTAAAACTTTATATATTTATATTTATACTTTTTATATTATGTATTTCAGAGAAATAAAAACTTTTGGTTAGAGTTAGTACTTTTGGTTGAAATCAATGTAATATCTGTTGTAAGACCAACTATTTGAAATATAGAAAATAGTATAAATAAATAAAAATTAACAAAAAAAAAAAAAAAAACACTCTTTTGCATTACAATCGCATTATTATTATTTCAACCATTACATGAGTTTAGATTTATTACTTTCAGTTAAACTTGATAGTCACAACATTTTTAAAAAAATATGTGCACTATGAATCTTTAAAAAAAAAAATTAAAAAAACCTTGACTTGGATTTACTAATAACATAGAAGGACAATCATGACCAGTTGTGTCACATGCTACATGCGATGCTAATGTCAAAGTTTTCATATCCTCGTCAGGAACCTCATGTTGTAACAAAGTCACATCATAGTTTGTGAAATCTATGTTGCCATCAACCACAGGTTCGTATTGATCACTAAATTATTGTTATTAAAAGTATAAACTTACAGCAATTAAATAAAGAACAGTCAGGTTTGAGTTGTTCTTGATAAAAATAGGCAAGAAAATATAAAAATCTTATTATAAAAGCAAGGAAATTATAACACATATAACTTTATAGACTCACTAAAAAATTTCAGAATATGGCATTGATGGTATTTGCTTTGATAAAACCAAAGTGCTTTCTTCAAACATCTTTTTGCGTTACTTATACAATTCAATTTTAATTCTACAAAAAAAAATGGTACGATAACACATGCACTTCATTAGTGTTAATATCTTTTTAATTTTATAAAAACATATTTATATCAATTTTAATTCTAAAAAAAAAGCAAAATTGTCAAGCTAAAATAGACTTAGCAGGTTTTGCAAAATTGTCAAGCTAAAATAGACTTAGCAGGTTTTAAGGAAAAATAAAATTAAAATAAATTATAAAGCTTTAAATTAAGTTAATAAATATGCTTAATACAATAGCATCACAAATTAAACAAAAATAATTTATGTGGTTTTGTTTTAAAAAACAACAATTTTCATTTAAGGAAATTTTACTAAAAAAAATAATCTAAAAGCATTTATATTGAAAAAAACTATGACTCTTTAGGGAAAACTCTTTTCTTCTAGATTTCAGTATAAAGAAAAAATCAAATATATATATATATATATATATATATATATATATATATATATATATATATATATATATATATATATATATATTAGGGTGCCCCCAAAAACAACATTTTTGAAAATAATCTGCTCTCACCCTCTTAATGTGTTTTATCTAATGCAAAAACACTAGGTTTAAATTTTTTTTGAATAAAAAAATATTTAAAGGGGTCCCTCAAGACCCTCGAATATTTAATGGGTCCCTAATATTTTCGAAAAAAAAGTTTTTCAAAAATATGTCATATTAATATTCATTTTGAAACAAAATTGTTATTTTTGGTTTTATTATATAAAAAATTGCGTTTTTCAAGAAAAAATGAAAAAAATGCATTTTTAATGTTATTTAATGATAATTTTGATAAATAAGTTAAAAATATTTCGAAATGAATATTAATTTTGAAATATTTATATAATTTCGCTTCATTTGAGTACCAAGTTGATATATTTTTAAAAAACTTTTTTTTCGAAAATATTGGGGACCCATAAAATATTCGGGAGTCTTGAGGGACCCCTTAAAATATTTTTTATTCAAAAAAAATTTAAACCTAAAAATTTTTATTCAAAAAAAATTTAACACATTTAGGGGGTGAGAGCAGATTATTTTCAAAAATGTTGTTTTTTGGGACACCCTAATATATATATATATATATATATATATATATATATATATATATATATATATATATATATATATATATATATATATATATATATATATATATATATATATATATATATATATATATATATATATATATATATATATATATATATATAGGGTAGCTCTTAAAACAACATTTTTGAAAAAAACCTGCTCTTACCCCTTTAATTTGTTCTATATAATACTAAACAATAGGTATAATTTTTTTTTAACAAAAAATATTTTTAGGGGTAGCTCAAGACCCTAAGAAATTTGATGGGTCATTAATATTTTGAAAAAAAAGTTCTTCTATAGTATGTCTAACTGGTACTTAATAGAAAAAAATTTCTATTTTATTTTAAGTCTTTGCGTAAAATTAAAACTTTAGAAAAGATCAACAATTAAAAGCAATTCATAACGTAACGTTTTTTTTATTGCATTTAAATTGTTAAAACATCAAAACACCTGGGGTCAATTTGTAATAAAAAAATAATTTTGTATGCTGTTTCTGTCCAAGTTTGCAAGTCTATTATTTTTTTTTTCTAGTGACTCCTAACTTTATATGATTGCTTCCAGCCTTGTTGAGAGTGAATTAGAATTTGTGTTTTTGCAATAATTTAAAAAATATTTCATTTGCAATAAATTTAATGGTTTTGGCTTTAATTCAATGTGGATAAGTTGGACGAAAATCAAAATAAAATGATGTAATTTATGATAGGATAAATACATTGGAAATAACAATAATAAAAAAGACTAACAATGTAATTTAACTTATTATTTTAAATTTAAATTTCGTTTATAGATTAAAAAAAAAAAGATTAATAATGTATATATATATATATATATATATATATATATATATATATATATATATATATATATATATATATATATATATATATATATATATATATATATATATATATATATAATATATATATATATATATATATATATATATATATATATATATATATATATATATATATATATATATATATATATATATATATATATATACAGAGGTGCTAATTAATATATATTTGTTTATCTGGTAATAAATCAACTTGTAGATATCAAATAAATCTATATTATTTAGTATATAAAATACAGCATGGTATTTTTAACATAAGCTTGCATTACATTTACATAAATTTCAACTATTTCATTCAATAATTGAATTTATATTTGAAAAAAAAAAGAATCTTATTTAAAGATTAATAAAGATTAATTTTAAGAATAATTTAAGAACTTGTAGAAAATGAACTTTGACAGAAAACCAAAATTTGGATTATATTAGTTACTTAAATGCTATATTCTTAAAAAATGAAACTGAGCAACTTGCACATATAGCCAAATTTTTTTCCTCCTGACCTACTCATAATATGTATTTCATTTCGCCTTCATATTTCAGACCACGACGCGTAATTAACGATATTAAAGTTTCTGACTAAATACTTTGACAGTAATTAATTTTTAACCCCGATTTCTTCTCACCTCAGCGTCAACCCTTTACTGTCTTGAGTTGACAATCTCGATTATCATGGCAATCTCGATCATTAGTATGACATAAAAATAAAAACATATTTATTCCATTCTTTGAAGTCTCATATCAAGTTTGTTCATAGTTGCTTTGAAAAATAGCATTTATCTGATCACACTGTTTGAAACACTTTTATTATCTCATAATATGAATGACACCAAGGTGTCACACATATTATAATAAGGTACCTTATTAAGAATAATATTTAGTACATTTAGTTTATTATCGTGGTTTTTGTTTTAGTTTACAGAGTTGTATATAAATATGGAGAGAGTGCCGTAGCAAGTTTTTTTTTTTTTATTTTTTTTTTTTTTATTTGCATTTACTCCCAACAAGGCTGCAAGCAACCACTATTAAGTTGGGAGTTACTAGAAAAAAAAAGAACAGAGTTATAGAGCAAGGAAACGGTTGACAGAAGACTTGAAAAATTGAAGGTTGTATGAGTCAGGAAAACATGAAGATGGGAGAGAGTTCCAAAGGATTGAAGTGCGGGAAAAAAAACTAGATGAGTAAAAGTTTTTAGAGCATGCAGGGACAGAGACAGTAAACGAATGAGACTTAGCTGAATGACGAGTAAAACGAGAATGAATTTTAGTTGATGGAACTAGAGATGATAACTCCTTTGAGCAGTGACCATGATAGTATCTGTAGAAAAGAGAAAGAGATGCAACTTTACGACGATGGGAAAGAGGTTCAAGCTTAGCAGATAGTCCAGGTCCAACAACATTTACAATGCGTTTTTAGACCTTGTCAAGAAGAGAGAGTGAATCGTTAGAAGAACCAGCCCAAATATGACAACAGTATTCCATACAGGGACGAATAAGAGATTTGTAGAGGTAGAGAATGGAATCAGAAGTAAGGAAATGGCGAGCACGATAAAGAGAAGCAACCTTAGCAGAAGCTAATTTAGCAATCGATTGTATATATGGTTTCCATGAAAGGGCAGTAGTAAGCGATAATCCAAGAAGACGTAAAGAGGAGGACTCAGTAAGAGGATTGCCATTCATTAATATAGGAATGTTGACCATATTACGGTAGTTGTTTGCAGTAAGCAATTGGGTTTTTTTAAAGTTGAAATTCACAAACCACTGTGAACTCCAATCTATTACTGAAGTGAGATCAGATTCAAGATCAGCTGCTTGTTCTAGGCGATCGAAAAGAGAAGACTTTTTGTCAAGACAGGAGTATAAAGTAAAGCAAAAAGAGCTACTTTAGATGAAAGGTTGTCAGGAAGATCGTTAATGTAGATAAGAAACAAAACAGGACCCAGGATGGAACTTTGGGGAACCCCAGAAGTTACTGGAAATAAAGAAGAGTGTTGGCCTTCAAGGATGACTTTAATAAACCGGTTAAAAAGAAATGATTTGATAATCTCAAAAACTTTCCCAGAAACACCATATCAAGCAAGCTTATGGAGAAGACCAGCATGCCAAACTTTGTCGAAAGCTTTAGATATGTCGAGAGCAATAGCCCTAGCCTCACCGCCTTCATCTAATGTACGATAAAATCTTTCAGTTACAGCAGTTAGCAAATCGGCCGTAGAGCGAGAGGATCGAAAATTGTATTGATTGTCTGACAGCAGTTTATTTGACTCAAGATGAGATGTGAGGAATTTGTTGATCAAAGACTCAAAGACCTTGCTAATAACAGAAAGAAGACTGATCGGACGATAATTGGAGGGGTTAGAATTTTCTCCAGAGTTTTTGAATATTGGAACCACAGATGCCATTTTCCAACAAGCAGGAAAACAAGGCTCAGTCAAACACTTGTTAAATAGTTTAGAGAGAATTGAAGAAAGTTCTGGAGAACAATTCTGCAAGACTGTGACAGGAATGTTGTCTGGACCACAAGCTGTAGACGAGTTTAATTGAGATATGACTTTAGCAACAGAAGCCGGAGTGATTTGAATGTCTAACAATGGGTCAACCTGTTTGACTGGAATGGAAGGAAGAGAATGTCCATAAGATTCAAGAGTGGAATTAGAAGAAAAGTTCTTTGCAAACAGTTCTGCCTTATCCCTGGGAGAGGTAACAAGATCAGTCCCATGAATGAGAGATGGAATGTTAGATCTACCCTTGTTAACAATGCTGTTGAAGATTTTCCAAAAGTCTTTAGAGCCTAACTTCTGCGATAAGATGCGAGATTTAGTGAACTGAGAATAATGGAGTTTAGCATCAGAAAGCAACTTTTTACATCGATTTCTTGCAATAATAAATAGCCGTTTGTTCTCAAGAGAGTTGTTCTTTGGAAAAAGATGAAAAAAATGATTACGATTGGATATAGCAGCCGCACAAGAACGAGAAAACCATGGAGTAGAATGAGGCTTGACTTGAAACCGACGAGAAGGAATAAAAGCTTCCATTCCAGCCTGAATCCAGGAGGTTACGTAGGAGGCGCATTTGTCAGCTGAGAGAGAAAAGACATCAGCCCAAGGACCATCACGAAGAAAATCACGAAAGGAATCCCAGTCAGCTTTAGGGTAGTAGTAGGTGGTGCGATGATAAGGTGAGCCCAAAAAAGAAGTACGAGAAGAAAGATTTATAGAGATCATTGCATGGTCAGAACCACCTAAGGGAGAAAAGAAAGAAACTGAACATAAGCTAGGGGCAGAGACAAGACATAAGTCAAGGAGTGAAGGTAAATGATTAGGGTTGTCAGGAAAACGAGTCACAAAGTTAACTATCTGAGTAAGAGATTGAGAAACGCAGAAATTAAAGGCTTTAGTGCCAGCAGGATCAGTGGTGTTAGATCCAAGCCATTCAGTGTGATGGGCATTAAAATCACCAACAACAACAATATTGGCAGAGGGGTAAAGAGAAAGGGCATGGTCCATTTGATTAGAGATAACATCTAAAAGAGTGCAATCATGGGAAGAAGGAGAACGATAAAGAACAAAGAGAAAGGTGATAGAGTGAAGAGGTGCTAGGCAAAAGCACATATAAGAATGGTCAAAGGATTCGAACCTGATTTCACGACAAATAGGGGAATTAATGCGTATGTATACCCCTAGACCTAGCATGTGACTATTGGAGTCTTTACGAATCAAAGGATAGTACCCATCAACACTGACATCTGAAGAAGGAAATGCAGAATTTAAATTTGTTTCACTGAGTGCAAGCAAGTCTGGTGAATTTTGCAGGAGGTAAGACTCAACTGATGGAAAGTTGCTTCGTAGACCGCGAATATTTGTAAAAGATATATTAAAATATTTAGGTGGTGGGGATGGTTTTTTAGGTTTTAAATTTTTGGTTACTTTGGTCATGATTTGGGTTTAATGAGAACTAGACTCATTCATAGATAGAGCACAGCCTCCTAATCAATGAGCTATGCAGTTGTCTCAGTCCTGTTAATTAACCCTAAGCCGTGACATAGGGCTCCTTATGTGGCCTTGACAATGCACACCAAAAGCATTAACAGGGACACCATCCACGCGCAACATGGCACTGTTAATACTCTGATATTTTGCAGCTGTTGATGGAACCAGCCTCTCTGAGAGCTACCACAGAGTTCGGGAAACCTTACTACCAGCCGGCCTCAGAACCATTAAACTGAGTTTTAGAGCTGTACCCTCATATGGAGATAACAAGAAGAGTTGCATAGCCATTATCAAGGAAGCATAAGCAAAATTCTATGAGTAGAGTCAAGGAGATCCAGTATTCATCATCCTAGGCAGGAAACAATGTAACACAGGTTACATCTACGCCAGCCTAATAGATGAAGAAGGGGTTCGAGGCTGGTTAGCAGAATTTTTCTGCTTACCCCTAAAGTCTTTGTTTAGGAGGCCTTCTACAAGACAGTAGCAGGATGCAATTAACATCTGCCCAAGATGAGTATTTTTATCGAGACACCGTCAGGGTTGATTGATCTCGATTATCCTGACCTGACCTGGACCTAGTTAGCCCGAGATCACCCCCTCCCCCAAAAAAAACAAACAAAAGAAAACAAAAAGAAAAAAAAAACAGAAAAAAAAACTTATATATACAATTTTTTTCAGTTTAAATAACATGTTTCGATTATACAATAATTGTTTTTAAGTATAAAACTGTTAAATTTTCAAGTATAAAACTATAATATATATATATATATATATATATATATATATATATATATATATATATATATATATATATATATATATATATATATATATATATATATATATATATATATATATATATATATATGTATGTATGTATGTATGTATATACAGAGCCGTCCTTAGAAAATGCGAGGTCTGGAGCAAATCATTTTTGCGAGGCCTTTTTGAAAGTCATTATTTCAGGCGTTTTTTTTTCTTACTGTCTGAGAAGAGGTTGTAAGTGCAAAACAAAAATTTCGGGTTGAGTTATTATTTTTGTGCAGGTTTTTAAAAAGGGCTGATTGCTTTATAAAATAATTTAGAGTAATAACAATAACGTTTATTCTTAAAGTTCTTAAAGACCAAATAACGTAAAATAAATAATATTTTTGTCTGACAAGTAATAAATGAATAAGAATAACAAATGAATTTTTCCTTTTTTTGTTATTATTGAATAATATAAATAATATAACATTTTTACAAAATAGTTATCTTATTTCTACATATTATGTTTTCAGCAATCGATATGAAGGGTGCTCATAGTTAGTTAGATGTTATATAATAAGTGTAAAATAGTAAACATTAATTTTATAATAGAATACTGGCAAATATTTATAATAAAAAAATACAGTGTTATTATTACTGTAAATCAATAGTCCAGGGTTAGACAATTTTTAAAATTGCGTCAAAAGGATGAAAACTTTAATGTCACAATTGATTGTTTTTTTTACCCTTGGATGAACTTAATTATGTCTTGAAAAGTTTCAAGCGTGAAAAACTCCTTCTGCGCTTGTCAGAGTTACGTTATAAATGCATTTGGAAATGGATTTTGAATCTGGTAAATAAATCTCAAAATCCTTGCAGCTGTTTTCACTTCAGCCAGTAGAAGTTCTCG